AGAAAGAAAGAAAGACTGGGTTCTATATTCTGTCAAAGGTTGCTTTATAACTACACAATATTCTTAAATCACAATACACTTTTAGTTTGAAAAGTATTTCAATAAAAATACTTTAAATTATTGGATGTCCTTTTACTTCAAGTCAGCCAAATAAAAGTATATGATATTATCTAGCTACATCTGTAAAATCTGTTAAAAAAAATTCACCAGTGAGCTTAGTTGGCTGTTTAATTTTATATACTAGAGGTTTCACTTGAAAATTTATGTCTGACTTAGTTCAGGATTAATTTTAAATTAAAATATATAATACTGCTCTTACTAACGGCAATCCATGCAGTTCATAGCCAGTTATATCACCTTTTTGCTAAGAATATTTCAGAATCAAAGGAAATTGGAAACTCTGAATAATCAGCGTTATTTAAACTGTTCTGGTCAAACTACAAAGTATATTTCACAGCCAGCTCAGATACTAATTCTGTAATATTCCTCCTATTCCAAACCCCTAAGTAAATGAATTACTGTCCTGACTTCCATACTGCCTTTAGCTAGATGTGTCACATTGCCAAATGGCTAAATATACAGCTTCAGAAGTCACAATTTGTGTTCATTAGCTATCCACTGCCTACATTGTTTGTTATATTTAGAAGTAGTAACAATTTTCCACCTTCATTTTTAATTCTTAGTATCTCACATTGGACTATTTTGCTGGGGGATGGAGCTAGAGGGTGGAAGTAGATAATAATCTTCTCCAAATTTCTAAAATTATTAGTAAAATAAACATGTTTGGAACAATTGGACAGTGTACCTTGGGATGAATAGATTAAACCAGAGCATTTTCATTATGTCTCTGGCAATCACCCTTTTATCTCGTCTTGTGATGAACATCTGTATTTTTTGGCACATTGTTAGGATATAAATGTGGGTTGTATCTGAACAAACTCTCAATTATAGTTCTGCTCAGACGAGATTTCAAAATTATGTTTTCTACTTTGTGAATGATATTTACTGTTGTGGTAGCAACTGTGTGAAAAAATATCTAATGCATTTAATATTCAGTTCTCCATTCATGTATCAATTATTTAGCTAAACCTTCTGTTAGTAGGTTTTTTTGTAAAACATGTACCAAATGTTTATTAAAAGGCAAAGAGATTCATCAAGTCACAGTAGCTAAAGCTGTGCTAAAAAGAAAAAACGAACAAACATATGAAACACCAGCAGTGTTTCTCATATTTGATGAGTAAAACCATATTCTATTTTGCTTCAGTTGTCTTTACTTGTACAAATAGAGGCCCTTATCCAATAAACATTTATAAGTGTGATTTTGATATACGCTAGTCTACTTCTGTCTTTAAGACCCCTTTGCATTGATGTGAGAGGTCCTGGAGGAGATAGGAGACTGGTGTTTAAGCATTTACTTAACTTTTGGCTCACCAAGAGTCTACAGAGTTCCCATGTCTAGAGCTCAGCACATGCAGCAACACTGCAGAACAAGAGACAAAAGTAGGAAAAAAGCCTGAATTTTTTTTCTTTTTTAAAAACAACTAATTTTTTTCTTCCCCTCACAGTGAGTGAATCATTTAGTGTTAATCTGTGGCTCTGGCTGTGGCTCTGGCACCGTTCCCAAGGCTGTTACAGCCCCTATTCCACTTGGGAGAGTTTTCAGGAAATTGCGTTGTCATGGATCCTTCTGCTCGGCTCCAATCTGCTCCATGCCCAAAATCCCCTGTGCAGCAGAGTAAGAAATCCCCAGCGAGGCCATGTTATATGAGGCACAAAAGGCCATAACTTCTGTGTAACATCCCCCAGTGCTTCCCTAATTATTCCACTGGATCATCTTAAACAAGGTTTATAAAAAGAGTGGAAGCAAATCCAGCAGTTGAGGCATGAGAAGGTGGGGACCGTGCTCTTCTAAATTGGTCTTTCTTAATGTCCCTATTTCTTAGTCATAATCCAGACTGTCTAGACTTACCAAGTTAGAAACAGGCATGTTTTTCTTCAAGGCTGAGCAATTTAATTCAGTCAGGGTTGGGGATTTTTTCCTGATTGTTTATTTTACTAAACGAGAGCTGGTTTGAGGATGGCAGGCGCCATCAGAAAGAAACAAGGCTAAAGTTCGCAACAAAGAGACGTGCTGATCAGTAGTGCTGTGACTAGGATCACTGCTGCAGCTGCTCCCTGCCTACGTGCGTTGGCTGTCGTCGTGTGGTTCAGGTTCCACTTATGGAAAGAATAAGTGAACAGGCAGGAAAAGGGAATCGGCTCTAGAGACAGGGTTGTCAGTAGGCTGCTGCAGTCTGGAGGCAGTGTGAATTGCTTTGTTCTGCACGGAGAGTTGAAAAATCATCTCAGCCATAGGTAGGAAAACTCTGTTTCAGAGAGTTCTCAGCAAGAACTATAAAAGGTTCAGTTTGCTGGCCTGAGGGATTTGAACAATGTGAATTGTCTGAGTTATTTTAACAACACAGACAAAACAATGAGCATTCAATGTTTTTTCATTTAGCTTCTATCACAGGGTTTTTGGAAATACATCCAAACAAGATAAGATCTGAATGAATATCAAGTAGATGCAACAATAGATAGCAACAGCAACTACTAAACTGCTTGCAGCAACATTTAATGCTTTCAGAATGGTTGTTCATTGCTTATAGCCGATAGATATGCTTTAGAGATGAATACGTGTTTGCCAGACATCCTGCCATTTAGGCACCCTGGGATTGTCCCTCAGTTTGGCCTTTGGCTGGTGGAAATGTTCTCATCCACACTGACACCCTGTCAGCTAACTGGCTGGGGAGCGTCGGGGAGGGAGCAGTCTTGCTACCCTTGCCCCTGGCACAGGAGTGCTGAGCACTGTGAGGACTGTTCAGCGTCCTAGCTCCAAGGCTCTCGCTATGGAAGGGAACTGTGTAACCTGGTGTTTGCCAGTTGTCCTGAAACCGTGCTTAATACCAGATAAAATGTGAAGAATATATAGAATTTTTCTTAGCCAATACTAATGCAGTTACTAGGTCTGAAGACAAGCGTAGAGAAATAAATAAAAACCTGCTTATAGCTACCTGAACTTCAGCTCTGCTCCAGGAGCTTTCCGTCAGCTGTGTAAGCAGGAATAAGCTGTTAGGATGCTTGTATAATTTTGTGGCTGGGAGCCAAGGCTTACGACCAGGCTACTCTTTTTCTCTGAATGGGTTCCTAATGCTGGGCTATGTTTTTCCAGCCCTTTCGCTCAGTTCTGTTCAGATTTAAATTTTATCCGGCTAAAGAGTCAGTAAAAGGGTCAGAACTACTGACCCTACCTGGACAAACGTTATTGTATCAGCTGATGTTACTACTTTGGTGTGGCAAGACCTCTCTTCTGTCCAGACAGTAAAGCGGGATTGTATGTGATTATTGGCTACGTCACTTGAAACAAATTTCTGAGGAAAGCATTTTCTTCTGCCTGAGAGGACAAGATTTGCCTCTCTGTGTAATCCTTTATATACTGAAACTGGAGTTTGTATACATAAATGATTTGATTCATACATTACAGTTTTCACTGTATGCTTATACAGAAGTGCATCAGTTTTACTTTTTGCTCAAGACTAGACATGATAGTATTCCATATATTTTGCCATGAGAATAGGTTTGAGAAATACTCTACCAGTTGTGAAGTTGGGGGGTTTTTTTGTTTGGTTGGTTGTTTTATTCTGTCAGTTTTACATTGAATATTTGAAGTGTTTGCGTATTTTGCCCAACCCATTTAAGTGTATATTTAAGTAAACCAGTAGATTCAGGTGTATTAAAAGATACATTTTAATTTTTTTCTTTGGTGAGAGAAAGAGATAAACCATTCCATGCAGCAGATGTATAACAGATGCTACTCCTAGGACATACTGTACTACTGGACGATGGCCAGGAGCGGTGGTGGTAGCATAGCTATTACTGTGATAGAGCAGAATAAAAGAGATGTGTAAGTAACGTGTTAGCTTCCCCACCTACCGCCCTGTCCGCACAAATGGGAATGAGGAGAAAATTCTGAAGTCTGTCAGCTATCTGCATTATCATAGAGTCTCCACAATCATCCACTTTTGAAAAACAGCAGAATACTGCACATTTGAATATGTTAAATACTGTGAAGTCTGTCCCATCTAGACCACACCAGGGCTCAGAAAATCTAAAACACAGTTCACAAAACCCACCTTCTTTCCATCTCCATATCCCAGGATGAATTTACCAAGAATGCACAGCTCCAGAAGCCTACTGAAATCAGGATGGGGGAAAGGGGAATTCATCTCACCTAACTTTAGCCATCAAGAAGCCAAACACCTAGGTGAAGGCAGTTGTCTAAACTGTTTTCATAGCTAACAAAAATCAAAGCACCCCTAGAAGGCATTCATCCTACCCATCTTACTGTGAGCTATGTGAGATGAATCCCATCCATAGTGTTTGGGGTCGTCTAGTGAGTTGGTGTTAAAGCCCATATGTAAAACTTATCTCTTGACTTCCCAGTGTTGAGTTTTGCCACGTGATCTCTCATCAAATCCTTTGGAAAGTTAATCTGAGAATTCTAACAGATACTTTTTTAACTGTAGGGAAGATCCTTCTTGTCTGAAAAACACATTTTCCTTTTAGAAGGTAGGAAGATATTTTTGAGACAAATCACCAACTAGAAGTTGGGGAAAGAGCCACCCAGTGGTAGTTGTCCCTCTGGGCACACTCTGTGTTGAAAACGAGGAAATTAACAGTTACTGGTAACTGAGTTATGCAGAGTGTAAATATCCCTTGTGCTCTCTACAAATTTTCTTTATTTCACTAACCACAACACAAATGTCACCTGCAACTCTGAAAGCTGTCTTAAAAAAAGAAGATGCAGTGTCCCTTAAACATTAATCATTTCCACGTGTAGGCAATGTGACTGTTTTGCGCATGATAGTGTTTTAAAACAAAAATCATTGCACAGAATACAAAATGGATTCAGTACAAAGCTTCTAAAATAAATGAACCTTAATTTCTTTTGTCTTTTAAAGGTCAAATGCTGCAAATACTGGCCAGATGACACAGAGATATATAAAGACATTAAAGTTACCCTAATAGAGACAGAGCTCCTGGCTGAATATGTGATTCGAACATTTGCAGTAGAAAAGGTAAGTTTCCAAATTCAGTTTTCTTAAATACAATGGTATCTGCCTAAGTAACTTATATACAGATTAAACACGGGAAAGTTAAATCTTTTGACTGACATCCCGGTTTTGTAGCTACTTTTTAGGTAAACGACTACCGCCCTCTTATGGTAGACTGTGTTTTTCTTTAAATGTGGCGACTATTCTACGCTTTCCATCACTGTTGGCCCCTGCCTGAGTTAGAAAAAGTGGTGTTCCTTGCCTAGGAGAAATCGAAGCCTCCCTCTCAGTAATCAATTGAAAAACACATT